TGACTGACCCAAGGTCACACCAGCAGCTGCATGTGGAGGAGTGGGGAATCAAACCCAGTTCTCCCAGATTAGAGTCTGTGCTCTTAACCACTACACCAAACTGGCTGTCTCATCTGATAAGTGAAGTAATAGGACTGGGGTTACAGAAATCTGAAAACAACAATAAGTATTAGACATGACATGTTAACAATGCCAAAGGGTGGAATTAGGCAGATAACAACGCAGAGCAGGGGTCCCCAACATGGCACCCACTGAGTGTTTTTAGAAAGTGGGCGGGGCCTGGTGGGACTTTTGCCCTGCGGGGTCTCTGATTGGCCACTGGAGATCCTATCATCTGTGCAGAGTAAAAGGCATCCTGTTAAACAGAGCTTTTGCCTGGAACGATAAAAGGGTTACTATTATCATTTTGCATAACTTTAATCCCTGACATTTTGCGGTTGGCTTCCTGTGGCGGCCATTTTGTGGTTGTGCCCACCATCCTGTGTCAGAATCCCAAAGGTGCCCACAGACTCAAAAAAGGTGGGGACCCTGATGTAGAGGGAGCAAGATAATATATCACTCCGTCATGCGGCACACTTGGGTCTCGAACTGCTGAACTACCGACCTTCCACAGCCTGCAGTTCAGCATCTTAACCACTTGAGCCACCGCAGCTCCTGTGACATATCCATGTAGGTACATTTAACTTATTGTGAACCGATTAACTTCAAAAAGGGTAACTTGCTACAGCTCCAAGCCCAGGTAAGAGAGAGAAGAAGAGAGGTCCCATATAAGATGAAATACAGAAGGCAAGCGATGGCCAAAGAGGCTCAACTTCTTACCGATGAGAGGGTGTCTTGGACTGCCAAGTGTACCCGAGAGAATTCTCTTAACCCTTTCCCTCCCAGATCCGATTCCTCTTGTATGCAGAGTTACAATATCCAACAGTGAGGTGGTTTAGGCGGAGGGAGGGAGGGAGGGAGAGGGAGAGGGAGAGGGAGAGACTGTCCCAAGTTCACCCAGTGGCCTTCACAGCTAGTTGAGGATTCAAACTCAGGTCTCTTTCTAGCTCTGCTTCGACACACTCTAACTGCCGCACTGCTGTGGTCCCCCTAAGATGGGGGGGGGGGGGTTTCAGCAACCTTTTAAACAGCTAAAGTGTATTGGAATCAAGAGCAACAGATCAACAGCCAGCCAATAGAAGAAAGCTCTTTTGCATAACTGACATATGAATTAACCTTACTGATAATTAACGCTGATTAATAATCCATATCGTTTTTGAACCCAAATACTGGTGCTCATGAGGAGCTGCGGTGGCTCAAGTGGTTAAGACGCTGAACTGCAGGCTGTGGAAGGTCGGTAGTTCAGCAGTTCAAGACCCAAGTGTGCCGCATGACGGAGTGAGCTCCCGTGTCTAGTTCCAGCTCCTGCCAACCTAGCAGTTCGAAAGCAAGAAATTGCAAGTAGATAAATAGGTACCACTTCGGTGGGAAGGTAACGGCATTCCGTGCGCCTTGGTGTTTAGTCATGCCGGCCACATGACCACGGAAACATCTTCGGACAGCGCTGGCTCTTCGGCTTTGAAATGGAGATGAGCACCGCAACCCTAGAGTCGGCTTCGACTGGTTTTCGAGCAAGGGAACCTTTACCTTTACCTTTTTACTCGTGCTCATGAGTCCTTACCAAGGTCTCACAACAGCTAATATATGTATACGGGCACACCCTGTGTGATTGCTTTAGTGCACTGGCATAAATCTATGCATGGTTTGTACTTATGGGTTGCCATCTCCAGGTTGTGAAATTCCTGGAGATTTGGGGGTGGAGCCTGGGGAGGGGCCTCAGCAGATATAGTGCCACATGGAGTCCACCCTCCAAATCAGCCATTCTCTCCAGGGGAACTGACCTCTGTTGTCTGGAGGTCAGTTGTCATTCCAGGAGATTCCCCAGGCCCCACCTGGACGTTGGCAGCCCCCAAACTGCACTTGGATTACTGGCAGCTGCACACTTGTATAATTTCCCTTTCTCAGGGCTCTTTTGGTAGAAAAAGCCCAACAGGAACTCATTAGCATAACAGGCCACACCCAACAGCAGAAACGTATTAGCATGTTAGGCCACACCCCTGACAGCACAGCTCATTAGCCTATTAGGCCACACCCCCATGTTACCAGAAGTGTGGTCATCCAGCCACACCCACCTTTTGCTTGTTATTCTGTTTACCTTGTTTGTTGTCAAAACCTAGGGCCTTTTTTTGTAACAGGAACTCCTTTGCATGTTAGGCCACCCACCCCTTCTGTAGCTGTTGGGTGTGGCCTATTATGCTAATGAGCTGCTGGGCGTGGCCAACTCGGGAGCCAGCCGTAACTCCGTTCCTGTGCGTTCCTTCCCAAAAATAGCCCTGCCCTTTCTTGTAAAAAAGAAGCTCTTCTTGAGTCCCATAAAACCTCTTTGTCTGCCATCCCATCTGCACATTCATTGTTCTAGTATCCTGCACACCTCCAGGTGGTGGTTGGAGATTTCACCCTATTACAACTGATCTCCAGGCGACAGAGATCAGTTTCCCTGGAGAAAATGGCTGCTTTGGAAGGTGGACTGTATGGCATTACATCCCAATAAAGTCCCTCCCCTCCTCTAACTCCGCCCTCCTCAGGCTCCACCCCCAAAATCACCAGGTATTTCCCAACCTGGAGTTGGCAGACATACCCCTTAAATATACCTTAACTTTAAAAGTTCATTTCCTTTTAGGGTTCCCAGCTCTGGGTTGGTGGAAACCATTATTAAGGAAAGAATTAGTAGGCACATAGATGAACAAAACCTATTGAGGCAGACTCAGCATGGGTTCTGTAAAGGAAGATCTTGTCTCACTAACCTGTTAATGTTCTTTGAGGGGGTGAACAAACATGTGGACAAGGGGGATCCAATAGATATTGTTTACCCTGACTTCCAGAAAGCTTTTGATAAAATTCCTCATCAAAGGCTCCTAAGTAAGCTCAAAAATCATGGATCAAAAACTGGCTAATTAATAGAAAACAGAGAGTGAGTATAAATGGGCAGTTCTCTCAGTGGAGGGGAGTAAGCAGTGGGGTACCACAGGGATCAGTACTTGGTCCACTGCTTTTTAACTTGTTCATTAATGATTTGGAGTTGGGAGTAAGCAGTGAAGTGGCTAAATTTGCGGATGATACGAAGTTGTTCAGGGTGGTGAAAACCAGTGAGGATTGTGAGACACTCCAAAGGGATCTCTCAAGGATGGGCGAGTGGGCGTCAACATGGCAAATGTGGTTCAATGTGGCCAAGTGCAAGGTGATGCACATTGGAGCCAAAAATCCTAAATATAAATACACATTGATGGGGTCTGACCTGGCAGAGACTGATCAAGAGAGAGATCTTGGAGTTGTAGTGGATAACTCACTGAAAATGTCGAGACAGTGTGTGACTGCAATAAAGAAGGCCAATGCTATGCTGGGGATTATTAGGAAGGAAAGAACAGTTAGAGAAAAAGGTACTTTTCTCCCTTTCTCACAATACAAGAACTCGTGGGCACTCCATGAAATCGCTGAGCGGTCGGGTTAGAACGGATAAAAGGAAGTACTTCTTCACCCAAAGAGTGATTAACACGTGGAATTCACTGCCACAGGAAGTGGTGGTGGCTACAAGCATGGACGGCTTCAAAATGGAATTAGATAGGCATATGGAGCAGAGGTCCATCAGTGGCTATTAGCCACAAGGTATAGATAGGGGCTCTGGGGCAAGTGATGCTCTGTCTTCTTGGTGGTTGGGGGGGCAACAGTGGGAGGGCTTCTAATGTCCTGGCCCCACTGGTGGACCTCCTGATGGCACCTGGTATTTTTGGCCACAGTGTGACACAGAGTGTTGGACTAGATGGGCCTTTGGCCTGATCCAACGTTGGCGTCTCTTATGTTCTTATGTTAAATCCCTGGAGATTTGGGGTGGAGCCTGTGGAGGGCAGGGTTTGGGGAGTGGCGTGACCTTAACAGGGTACAATGCCATAGAGTCCACCCTCCAAAACAGCCATTTTCTCCAGGGGAACAGATCTTGGTCGTCTGGAGATCAATTGTAATAGCAGGGCATAGGCGTAATCTTCGTGGGGGCGGCGGGGCGTGAGCCCCCGCCGAAATTTTCAGGAAGGTACTCAGCCTCCCCCGGGAGCCACCCTTGCTCCTAGCAAAGCAATGCCTCTGGTCGAGCCCCAGCCCCCCCCGGGAAATTGGAAAGTCTACACCCTTGTAGCAGGGGATCTCCAGGTGCCACCTGGAGGCTGGCAACCCTATTTCCTTTTCTCAACAAGCAAGATTTGGTTCTTCACTGAGCCACATCTGGCCCTGGAGCCAGGGCCAGCTCCAGCTTATTTTGCACCCTAGGCGAGGATCCCTTCTGCCCCCCCCTTGCCCCCACCCATTTTCA